CTCGTCACCCGTCTCCCTGAGTCCCTTCGTGTCGTTAGGGACCAGTTTCTCTCTGTCTGTCCCACCACTCTCACTGTCGACCTCCTTGAGGAGTCCCTGCTAGCGGCTGAGAAGAGTATTGTCGCTGTAGGGGCCTCTCGGGGTGACCCTCGCACCCCCATCTTTGAGGGGTGTGGTCCTTCCCCCCTGCTGCCCTCTGTCGCCTCTGCCGCTGCGGCCGACCTCACTGGTTTTGAGTCGGTCGGCGCGGCGTCTGCCCCCAGCGGCAGACGCCGCTCTGGCAAGGGCAAGGGGGCAAGGGAGCGGGTGGAGCTAGAGGGGGCGGTGGAGGAGGCGGTGGGGGTGGCGGGGGGAGTGGGGGTGGCGGTGGGGGTGGTGGCGGGAGTGGAGGTACTGGTGGCGGCGGTGGAGGCGGAGGTGGCGGCGGAGGTGGTAGCGGAGGAGGCGGTGGGAGCGGTGGGAGCGACGGTCCTGGTGGAGGAGGTGGCGGTGGAGACGGGGGTGGCGGTGGAGGCGGGGGTGGCGGTGGAGGCGGGGGTCGGAGTGGCTCGTCCCAGCGGAGCAGCTCTGGGGGTGGTCAGCGCCAGCAACAGCAGCAGCAGCAGCCGCAGCAGCAGCCACAGCAGCAGCAGCGCTCTCGCACCGTCCCCGCCCCTCAGCAGCTCCGTGAGTGGTACTTGCAGCGTCAGCGTGGTGGTGTGCTTGGTCCCTGCCCCTACGTTCTTCGCACCGGTGACCGTGCAGGGGAGAGGTGTGGAGGCGCCCACACAGCCCGCCGCTGCTTTGGCCGCCTGACCGACGCCTGGCGTCAGCAATTTCCGGAGGCCGCTGAGATCCCCCGCTGGGGGGAGCTGTCTAGGGCTGGTGTAGCTATTTATGATCTTTATTTTGATGCTATTCTCTCTGCTATGTATGCTGTGGTTAGTGATGAGGATGACTGTTACCGGTGTTTCCCGCCCGACCCGGGCATTGGTACTGCCGCGTCAGGTACTAGTGAGGCTGCTCCTCTGGTACTGTGCCTGCTGAGGCCTTGCACACCTTCACGCTTGACTCAGGTGCTTCTCGCTGCTTCTTTGGCGACAGCACCATAGTCACACCACTCGCAGCACCGGTTGCACTCTCTCTGGCACACCCCTCTGGGGGACCGGTTCTTGCACGTTCCTCCAATGTTCTCCCGTGTCCGGCGGTCCCGTCTGGCTCACTGTCAGGTCTTCACATCCCCTCATTCTCTACAAACTTGGTGAGCAACGCTGTCCTTCAGGATGCTTGGGTTGATACCTTTACCCCTGGAGTGTTATGTGATGCTATCATTTGCATTCACGTCTGTCTGCCTCTCATCATGTGTTCG